TTTTCCTTTGACTCAATGGTGCCAAATGGAGCAAGCTTCATCATGGCTTTCGACATTAATTCAGTGGCAACGTAACCTAGTAAAGAGCTCAGGTAAAGTGTGTTCTCTCTGCTTGGACCTTCAGGAAAGGTTAATGTTGCCAATTCATAATCAACAACTGATAAATTTTTTCGAAGTTGAAGCTCCAATTAGATTTCAGATTTACACATTCATTTTTGCCTGCCTGTTGTTGGTTGTTGCTTTTATGAATTCTTGATCTGTATGGTTTCCAAAATTGGCTGATCAAGTGGAAAACAATACATTGGCTTTAAAGCATGGTTAGATATGCATATTTTATGTGTACTCGGTGTGGCTGTATAGTTGAATAGACAACAAGCATAAAGAATCTGCCAAGAGCGAAGCCAGGTTGTCCAAATTTATGCATGTTGACTGAAAGTGTAATGTTAGATGCCAGCTACATGTATCATGCCATGGGCCTTAAGTCCAGCATGGAACATATTTTGGTTCAATAAATCTCTAGGTCATCAAATAGAAGGTGCAACGAAGAAGTATTTGGCAATTCAATATTTTGTGAGTGGTCTCCTCTTTGATGAGGGACGCTACGAGACCTGATTACAGTTTTCTGTTATAAATCTTATGTTTTTTGGCGTCTTATTGATAAGTACTTCAAACATTTCAGTAATTAGTTCTACTCATGGTTTGCTGCTCTTTCAATGTAGAATGTGGATCTACAATTGGCCCATTAATTATTTATTGTGTCATTTGGCTTTAGTCCTAAAACTGCTTTTTTCTTACTTATTCTTTTGCAGATCTTTGTTTGGACTGACAGGTAGTCTTGATACTCCTTTAGGTAAGTCCTTCTGAATAAACTAATATCGGCTTCCAAAGAAAAACTAATATCAACAGTCATTCAGAGAAATAGAAACCTCCCTTATATGTTTTGCTGAACCATTGTTACAGTAGGATTGCATTTGGATTCATAAATTTTAAATACATTGATTTTTTACTGAACTTTTTGACTTAAAATGCTTGCATGCCCTTCTTCCGTTGGATTTCAAAAAAAAAAAAAAACAAAGGTTATTAATGATGTTGAATTGCTATTGTAGAACATACAATTTTAACTGGTGTTGGCACTTGGATATGTATTGATCGTGGTAAGTGATTACATTTACACCGAGCGGGGGGGATGTTAGAAGCTTGTTAGATGTGAAAGCACAATATGTTTACTTCTTCAGAACTCGTGATAATTCCTTACAATGGGAACCTGAGAGCAATGCATATGCATTTGGATTCGTATTAGAAGCGGTGTTGGCACTTTGTTTGCCATGAGAGACTTAGAAATACTGAGAGCAATTGTTTACGTCTTTTTTCCCTTCATTTGTTTTTTTCTCTATCTGTAAACTGAGGT